ATTGAATTGACTTGGATGTTTGCTTGAAAATCAATTGACCATATATGTATGGGCTTATTTCTTGATTCTATTCTGTTCCATTAATCTAGCTGCTTATCTTTAGGCCCAAACCACACTGCCTTTATTAATGTAGTTTTACAATAAACTTTTAAATCAAATAATGTTAGTTCTCCAACTTAGTTATTCTCTTTCAAGACTGTTTGGGTTATTCCACATTGTCTGCATTTCTATATAAATTTTAGAATCAGATTGCCAATATTTTCAAAAAATTTTGCCGGGAGTTTGATTGGGATTTCATTGAATCTGTAGATGATTTAGGAAAATAGATATTTTAACAATATTTTTCTAATCCATGAACATGGTATATCTTCTCCATTGATTTAGGTCTTCTTAAATTTCTTTCTACAACATTTTGCAGTATTCAGTAGAGAGGCTTTGTACAACTTTCCTTTGATTAACTCTGTATTTGGTTATTTTTCTGCTATTTCAAATGGCATTGTTTTTAAATTTTACTTTCAAATTATCATTACTAGTGTACAGAAAAATTATGGGCTTTTAAAATTTTAGTATCCTGTGACTTCACTAAATTCACTTGCTAATTCTGGTAGCTTTTTTTAAAAAAAAATTCCATAGTGATTTTTACGTATACTATCATTTAATCTGAGAATAAAGATAGTTTTACTTTTTTTCTTTTTCTTTTTTTTTACAATATGTATGGCTTTTGTATCTTTTTTGTGATTTATTGTAATGCAGTAAAATATTGAAAGAAATGGTAAGAACAGACAGCCTTGTTCCATGAAGCATTCATGGTTTCACCATTAAGTATGTTATTAGTTGTAGGTTTTTCAAAGATGGCCTTTACCTGACTGAGGAAATTTCCTTCTATTCCTAGTTTTTCAAAAGTTTTTATCATGAATAAATGTTGGATGATGTAAAATGAATTTTTGCATCTTTGAGATAATTTTTCTCTTCTGTTCTGCCAATATAATAAATTATATTGATTGATTTTCAAATGTAAAATCAACCTTATATTCCTGGGGAAACCACCTCCCCTGCCCTTAATTATGATGTATTGTCCTTTTTTGTATATTTTTGGAATAAAGTGCTAATATATTATTATGGATTTTTGCATCTTTTTTCATAAGGGATACAATTTTTCTTTTCTTGCATGTAATTTTTCTTTTCTTTTAATGACATTATAATGCTGTAAGGGTTACGCTGGTTTCACAAAATAAATTGGGAAGTGTTTTCTTTTCCTCTATTTTCTGAGTGTGTGTAAGGTTAGTATTATTGCTTTCTTAAACGTTTGATAGAGTTCACAAGTGAAACTATGTGGGCCCATAGTTTTCTTTGTGGAAAGATTTTTTTATTACAAATTCAATTTCTTTAATAGATACAGAGCTATTAAAATTTTCTGTTTCACCCTCACCAGTTTTGGTAACCCCTGGCTTTCAAGAAATTTATCCATTGTGTCTAAATTGTTAAATTTATTGGCAGAAATTTGTTCATAATATTCCCTTCTTATTTTTTAATGTCTTTAGAACCTGTAGTAATTCTCCTTCTTTCATTCCTGATATTTGTAGCTTGTTTCTCTCTCTGTCTCTCTTTCATTTTCTTTTTCTTAATCAGTCTTGCTATGGGCGAACACAGATTATTGATTTTACATCTTTTTAATTTTATAATAAGGCCTTTAAAGTCACAAATTTCACTCGAAGTGTTGCTCTAGCTTCATCCCACAAATTTTGATACGTTACTTTTATATTACTTTTCAATTCAAAATATTTTATTTCCCTTCTGATTTTCTTTGATCCTATTTTTTAGAAGTATGTACATAATTTTCAATTAGGGAATGTGCAGAAAAGAGTTGACACAGCAGGACTGATACTGCCACCCTTAAAAAGGCCTGCTTGTGAGGTTGGCCCTTGGCTGGCATCTGGGAACATGGATTTTGAGAGGGTCTGCCTCCATTCTGTAACTGATAAGAGTGGCTCACCATACCTAAACTGTTTATACAAACACTGTGGTTTATGATGAACACCAGCTTCCTTTTGCAGAGTCTGGATTTAGGGTACATGCTAGGCAGAGGGTGCCTATTCAACTGACCTCCCAATAAAAACTCTGGACACCTAGGCTCAGGGAGCCTTGCCTGAGCTTCCCACACATTGTCATAATTTGTTGCTGGAATAATTGTTTCCTGTGTGACTCCATGAGGAGAGGACTCTTGGAAGTGGAAACCAGTTTTCCTCCAGATTTTCCTCCACACTCTTTCCCTTTGACAAATTTTCTTTGTTTCATTTTCTCTGCTCTGGCTAGTTCCCTGTTAAGCCCTTTAAATAAACATTTCACATCTGAAATTACATTTTTTATTTCAACATTCCCATTTTTAAACACAGTTTTCATTACTATACTAAAACTCCCATCACATATGCTGTCCACCTTTTCTGCTACATCCTTGAACATATTTTTCACAGTTATTTTAAAGTCCTTATCTTCTAATTTGAACATTTGCATAATCTTTAGGTCTCCTTTTATTGATGATTCTTCTCTCATCCTGGGGTCGCATTTCCTTTCCTCTTTGCATGTCTCATAATGTTTTTTTATTGTGTGCCAGCCACTTTGTGAAATGAATAATCAAAACTGAAATGGAAATCATGTATCCCCAGGAAAGGACACACCCGTTCTCCCATCAGGTGTCTAGTGTGGGGTCTGCCTTAATCTAACCTCTGGTTACCTGGGTCTAGTCTTTGTTGCAGCTTTAGTTAGATTCTGTCCAACACTAGCTTCAAACATTCTGAAGGTAGGAACCTGACTTCCTCTTGACTAAGACACCCACTCTGTGGTACTTTCCTATGGCAGCTGCAGCAAACTAATACAGATGAGGAGGAAGGTGCAAGGTGGTACCTTTGACCAGATAGTCCAGAGACGTGGAGGTAAAGGATGGAGAGTTCCCACACATTAAAGTGAAATTGTCTTTCTTTCAACTCACGCCCAAACAGTGAGGTGATTCCACGTGAGTATGTATCTGGCCCGGTGTCCTGGGTTTTCCTCAAGTCTCTCATTTTGTTGGCCCCTTGTTCATCCTCAAAAACCTATGGAAACAAGAAAAGAGCCCAGTTAATGGACTGTCAGTGCTGAGCTCTGGCAAACCACGAAACTGAAGAGAGCTTTTGTTCCTGCAATCCACATTTATTGAGCCTGCGCTGTGCACGCAGCTCAGAGCTAAAAGCTAAGGATAAGGGGAGCAGGTGGAAGACACCCTCTGGCCTCCAAGTCAGGAGTGAAGGGCAAAACCCTGTAGTTGGCACCTGGGGGCAGAGAGGACAGAAAGCAAACGCATCCTGACCCAGTCAGCCCAGGCTCTGCCCAGAGCCAAGAAAAGTGGCTGCAGCTCAAGGAGCAAGCCTTAGGTCTCTTGTGCTCTTCTCTCAGACTGAGGTCTGAACTGGAAGGCCTCCCTGGGTGGGACTCTCCACATGCGGCAACTGGACCCCAACATGCTGGTAACCAGGCTGGTGCACCTACATTCCTAACGGTTAAGTGGAGGTCCTCCAGGGTCAGAATTAGATTCTCAGATCTTCCCCAGATCGCCACAATCAAAACCTTCTTTGTGGAACCCAGAGCATTTGCATGTCCCAGGTGACTAGGTGACCAAGCACAGCCCCCAACCTAATTCTTCACATTACAAGGGAAGGGAGTTTGAGCCAGTTTTCGTTGCTATACTAAAACTCCCATCACATATGTTGTCCCCCTTTTCCACTACATCCTTGAACACGTTTTTCACAGTTATTTTAAATTCCTTATCTTCTAATTTGAACATTTGCACCTCTTTTGGTCTTTTATTGATGATTCTTCTCTCATCCTGGGGTCGCATTTCCTTTCCTCTTTGCATGTCTCATAATTTTTTTTATTGTGTGCCAGCCACTTAGTGAAAAGAACAGTCAAAACTGAAATGGAAATCATGTATCCCCAGGAAAGGGCATACCTGTTCTCCTGTCAGGTGTCTAGTGTGGGGTCTGCCTTAATCTAACCTCTGGTTACCTGGGTCTAGTCTTTATTGCAGCTTTCATTAGATTCTGTCCAACACTAGCTTCAAACAGTCTGAAGGTAGGAACAGGACTTTCTCTTGACTAATCTGGGCTCTGGTTGCTTTCTGGAACGAAGAGCCCAGAATGCTGACTGCCTAGCATGATGCTGGATGCTCTCGCTTCCCATAACTGTTAGCCGAGATGAAAGTGGTAACAGACAGTGACCTCCCAGAGGGCATGCAACACGCCTTTTGTTTCTCTTGCTGGACCTGACCCACAAAGGCACTCAATTCATGTTTGGGGTACTGAAGATGGAAGCTAAATCTGCTGACGCTAAAGGAAGACTTGAGATGTCTACAAATATAAAACCCACAAGTACACAACCTTAAGAAAGGAACTGGGATGGTGCTGCCCTCCCCGACTTGCACATGCACCTTCCCCACTCTCTCCCTTCCTTTTCCTGTCTTTGTGTGTCATTTCTTCTCTCCTTCAAGGTTATCTTTCATTTATGTAGTTGGGATAATAACAAAAGCAAATGACTTCTGAGTGCTAGCCACAGGTCAGGCATCGTCCCCAGCTCTTCACCTGAATTATCCCAATGAATCCTCCCAACAACCCTGGGAGGCACCGGCATGATCTCCATTTTAAGGTGAGTAAACTGAGGACTATAGGGGTTAGGGATCTTGCCCCAAGTCACACAACTGGAACGGTGGAAGCAGGAAAGGAAGTCAGGCAGACTTTGTGCTCCAGACACCTGAGGAATGTGTGTGTGTGTGTGTGTGTGTGTGTGCGTACAGTGGTTTGTGGTATGTGTATGTGTACAGTATGTTTGTTGTGGTGAGTGTGCAGTGTGTCTATGGTTGTGTGTGTGTGCATGCACACATGTATGTGTAGGGAAGGTCAATGGGAGAGAGTGTAGGATGCTTGCCCTCTGCACCCTTCCAGGCGCCTGCAGAGCTACCCACCTTCCAGCACTGAAGAGCTTGCGCTTTCATCCTTGCTAACAGGAAGAAATCCATTCCTGCCGCCCCTCGGGGGAAAGAAAGAAAGCAGCAAGGAGGCCAAAGCACGAGGATGAGAGGGCAGCCCATGAAAAGAACTGCCCTTTTCTGCCCAGGCCTTTTCTTATCCTGTTCCTTCCTCAGTCCTTGCATATACCAAGCCCCCAGTGCACCACTGGGAGAGTGTCTGCCTGGTCCAGTGCCAGGCTCACTAGGATGTGGCAGCCAGTACCTGTAGGCATTCCCCTGACCAGCAGGAACCAAAGGTGCTAATGTGCTTCTGGTCCACAGGATGAAGTTCCACGTGCCGTGTAGTGTCATGCAAACAGGACAGCATGGCCCAGCAGGCCACTTGACCTCACCCTTGGAGCAGACTCACTCCCACCATTTCATGAGTTTGTTCAGGCTCCAGAGCGTCTGCCTGGATGGGGTGTAGGGCATTAACAACAGGTGGAGCTTGGTTCTGCTGCCCCTCAGCCTGGGTCCCCTTGGAGGTGTCCTGAAAGCAGTGCCGTGGTTTCCAGAAGGCTGAGACAATGTTCTTGTATTCCTTGCGGAAGTTCTGGTTCAGCAGCCCATAGACGATGGCATTAAGGCAGCTATTGAAATAAGCCAGTAAGTAGCTAGTGACAAAGAGCCCCTCTGGGACCTGGGGAGCCATTTCTTCTGGGTTGATGGCCACAGCGAGGCCAATACAGTTGAGTGGGGCCCAGCAGATGGCAAAGATCACAAACACCAGGAACATGGTTAGAAAGCTCCGGACGTCACTGGACCTCAGGCGCAGCTTGTTCTCTGACTTGACCTTCCTGCGAGCCTGGAGCACCAGCACCCAGATGCGCAGGTAACAGAAGGACACGACGGCGATGGGGAGGAAGAAGTGGATGACCACCACTGCAGCCGTGTACTCAGCGCTGGCTGTCTGGATGAAGGTGCAGGAGTAGATGCGCGGGTCGTATTCCAGGGACCCCACAGAGAAGTTGGGCACCAGAGCCACCACAGTGAGCAGCCAGACGAGGCAGATGTAGAGGGGGGTGTGCCAGTGCCGGCAGATCCGGTGGTAGGCCACACTGTGGCAGACGTAGCAGTAGCGGTTAATGGCAATGGCGGTGATGTTGAAGACGGAGCCGATGACACTCAGGCCCATCACGAAGGCGCTGGCCTTGCAATGCACTTCCCCCAGGGCCCAGCCATCATGGAAGATGGCCACAAGAATTAGGGGGTAGGGGTACAAGGCCACCACCAGGTCAGCCAATGCCAGACTCACCAGGAACAAATTACCTGGAGCAGGAAACAGGAAGCAAGAGTCAGCACGAGACCCCACGATTTCTACTCTGTAGAACAGCCTATGCTTTATCCAGTTACTTAAAAGTGACTGAGTCACTGTTAGCATTGGGAAGGAAGCCAAGCGGCTTCTGGAGACACAGAGTTCAGAGCTCAAATTGTATCTCTGCTACTCACTGGCTGTGTGACTAAGGCAAGTTACTCAGGCTCTCTGAGTCTTACTTTTCTCTTTTGTAAAATGGGGATAATGACGCCTAATTTATACTCTAGCTGTGAGAATTAAACAACAATGCAAAGTGCTTGGGGACCCAGTGGGCACTCACAAGATCTATTTTCATGATAGGCACAGATGCTCAGAGGCTTTGCTCCATTTAAGCTCCAGCAAGGATTCTGGGGGAGGAGAATCTGAAAATCAGGAATGTGGATTCACCAACATCAACACTCCTCCCCTCCGTACTCTCACCCCGCCCGCGACCCCGCATCTCTCTCTGATAGTCTCCTTTGGCATCTTCTCCCCACTGGATAACAGGCTACTTTCTAAGTGTCTTTAGTTCATTTTTCTAAATGTGAGTTGCATTTTGCAGGTGGAAGAGAAGAAAGGTTTTGAGAGTGGGAACCGTGTGTTCTGGTTTTCCCCTGTCTGCTTGTCTGGGCCTTACATGTGCAGCCATGTTGGCAGACACCTGGCCTGGTGGCACAGAGTCCAGGCCTGTGGAGCGGGGAGGGGCTGTGGCTGCTCCCCATGTCACATCCGCCAGGGGGCTCCCTGCTTTGCCCTCCCTTCCCCAACTTCCTGAACTGCCTCTCTCTTCTGAATGGAGAGTTCTCCAGCATCACCAAGCTCAGCCAGCAGGAGACAGCCTCAGGAAACCATGATAGCCATTGATGAATATGCTTCTCGCGTGTTCTGGACCAGAGTTCTAGGGAGGAGATGGAGCTAAATCCAAGAAAAAAAACAGTCTCTGTTCCTAAAGCGTTTGCATCCTAAAACCAATACCGACTCGTGAATAAAGTACCAAGAACCAGAACGTTTGGGCCAAATGAAGGTCAGGATATGAGCAGCTCCATTTCCAATGCTATTTATTTCATTCACCAAGTGTTGTACTTTTTAAGCACCTACTATGCTCAGAAGGTAATATATTCTCTATTCTCCCACCAGCAGAGGCCCTCAGGAGGCAGTGGGCACTGGACACAGTCTTTGAAGTCTTCAGGCCTCTTGCTACATGGGGAAGTGCCAGCTGCCAGTCTGACAGAGGCTGAACGCAGAGGGCAGACGGAATGGATTCACAGGAGGGACTCTCCAAGGAGACGCTGGGCTGTGGTCTGGCTTCAAGGGGGTTTGGAAAAAAGGAGGCTCAGAGCCATCCAGCTGGGAGTTCCTCTGAGTCTGATCTTCAGGTGAAGTCACTCTGCACTTGTGGTTGTAAGTGCACCCCATCTCGAGGAATATTCCACGGGACATGCTCCATGTGCCATTGGGAACATGGAAGACCCATAGACAGGCTTCTTGCAGTGCCTTTTTTGGCCTCAGAGGCTTCGGGTCAACCCCACTCAGAAGTGACAGAAAAGAAGTCTGTTAGCAACCTGGGAGTTCTCAGGACTTAAGAACTCCTGAATCCAGAGCTAGGTTAGGGCCTGAGGGAGACAAGATGTAACTGAATAGAAAGGAGATCATTTGGACAATTAGAGCGCTTGCAAGGCAGTGAGCTTCCTGTCTCTCGAGGTATTCAAGTAGAGGTTGGATGGTAAAGGAAAACCCTGCCTCGGATTGAACTGCTAGATTCTTTCTTATTCTACTTATTTTAGGGATTTACTTAATAGGATAAAGCCCTCTCATATTCTTTCTGGTTGGTCCTGCAAGGCAAGAAATGCACATCTGAGGACCTGCTTGGGATGTGAGGGTTCTCCTGCTTTTCCTCTTAGTTCCCTGCCTTGTTTGCTGTCTCCCCTGGTGGATTTCAGAATCGGACTCTCCTACTCAGACCTCACTTGGTCCCAAGAGAGTGAAGGATTATCCCTCTCAAACTTCTTGTTTTCAGCTGAATCAGGAACCCTTGTCTCTTCTCAGAATTTTAAGTGTCCTTTGGATGTTTGGAGGTGGTACTGGGAGTTGGAACAACCTGGGTAATCTCAGTTCTGCCACTTTCCGGCTGGGTGAACTTGAAGCAGTTACTGAACTTCTCTCTCCGTGACTAGCCCTTCCTTAGCTCCCACTCTTCTTTTGGAGTCCTCCTTCCTCCTCTTCGCACACATTCCACATGGCTGTCTCTGTAAAGAAAATCACTTCTTTCCAACACAGGAATATCGGTCTCCCTCTGGCACATGCAGAGAAAGTCAAGAGCTGCTGGGAGCCGGTGCCAGCTCGGCCAGCTGTTTCCCCGGGAAAAGCAAGTCAAGCTCTGCCGTGTTAATGTAGCTCATCCCCTAATAACACCCCAGAGGCCAGCAAACAGCTTGTAAATAGTAGGAAGAGCACATTCAACTCCACGTGGAAAGTGATTCGATTACTCTCCCCTATTACCCCGGCTGTTCCTAAAAGGCTGAAATCAACCAGTTCCTGCTGTAGAGTCATCTGCCCAGACATCATACTGTCTCCCAGCTTTCTTGACACCATTCCAAATTAGGTGAATAAAATTCTTGTTTTCTCTCCCATCTGTAAGAACGCAGGTCCTATTTGGATGATAATCAAGGGGAGATCCAGTTCTCTTTCCATTTCTTCCCCAGACAGGTGAGAAATCAATCAGGATGCACACAGCACTGCTCATCATCCCGTGCACGGGCTGCTAATGAATATTTAGATCACAAGTCCCCGCGTGACTTATTTCCATCTGCCTGCATCAGACAGACTTATATTAGTGGAGACAGGCTTCAACAACACGGCTTTGTTCACTAATATGGAATTCCCTTCCAATATTCACACGCAGAGCACATCCCTTCCCACACACAGCCACCACAATCCTCTCCATCCTCACTTCCTCCTTCCTTCTTTCTGGGATATCTATTCCTTAATGAGAATTGGGTAGTCCAGGAGGGAGCCAGCCAGTGCTGAGCTATCTAGGCTTCAGATAGGAGAATTTTGGAAGGTAAAGCTGCCTCCATCCCTTGCCCCTCTTCCCTGTGCTCTTCCTGCATGCCTGAAAGACTTTTTTGGATTTAAAACTCCATAGCCCTGGTCATTGAGCTAAAAGGCCATATAAAATAGACTGTCACTGGGTCATTTACTCAACAAATATTGCTGAATATCTACTAGCCAGCGCTGGCGGTCTAGTGGCTAAGGTTCGGTATTCTCGACACTGCAGTCCAGGTTCGTTTCCTGGTCAGGGAACCACACCACCCATCTGTCGGTCATCATACTGTGGTGGCTACATGTTGCTGTGATGCTGAAAGCTATGTCACCGGTATTTCAAATACCAGCATGGTCACCCATGGTGGACAGGCTTCAGCAGAGCTTCCAGACTAGACAGACTAGAAAGAAGGACCTCACCACCCACTTTCAAAAAAATTGGCCAAGAAAACCCTATAAGTAGCAGCAGAGCATTATCTGACACAGTGCCGAAAGGTGAGAGGATGGCGCACACAAGCAAAGAAACTGAGCAGGGGCTCCGTCCGATCTGCTGTACGCAGGGTCACTAAGAGTCAGAATCGACTTGACAGCACCAGCAACAACAAAGCATCCGTTAGAAAAAATAACTGAGATGCCTGTTACAAAACATTCCTCCATAACCACCAAAAGAGGTCACTCAGAGAGTCTTAAGGTAGCCTCTTATTACTTTAATTACACTTAATAATAACACCAAAACAACAATCGGTATAGCACCTTAAAGTTTATAATTTGCATTTACATAAATTGACCCAACTGTTTCTCACAAGAATCCTTTAAGGCTGATAGCATGATTTCCATTCTACAGATCAAGAAACCAACTCTCAGATTATGGGAATTGCCTATAACTGCAACAGAGAAAGAGCGAGAAAGAAGGGAAACAGGAGGAAACCAGGAAAAAAGAAATGTCAAGGGGGTTGAGGGCAATGGGGCAGTTTCTTGGTCATCTACACAAATGAGAGTGAACAGAAAAGTGCCCGCTTAACTTGGCAGTTGAGAGGTCAGCGGTAATATTAGCAAAGGCAAATTCTGTGGAGCGTTGGAGGATAAACTTTGTACTGTAGGTTGCTCTCTCCGTCAGTTCTGCCTTCCAGGGAAGGAGGGAAATGGAGTGGTCCTTAGAAAGGAATATCCTTTGATGGGAGATGGTGCAGAGTGTTTTTCTTGTTCTTTTCTCTCTTTCTTCTAAATGAAAGAGACTTGTATCTGGCATATAATAAGAACATAGTAACATTAGCTATTATTTATTTATGTTGTTTTTATATTATTAGTTGCACAGAAAGGGGCTCATACTGTTGGACTAGGATCCCTGTAAGATAAGATGTGAGGAGCAGTGGTGGGGTGAGGACAGTGAACAAGGCAGGATGTTGCCCCTAGAATGTAAACTCCCTAACAACTGGGACTTTATTTCCCAATTTCCTAACTTTGACTCTTGCAGCAACAAGTATTTAAAATTGTAGGACCTAATAGCGACATCAGTATCTTCTGAGTTTTGTGGTATTTCATGCCAAATACAGAATCCAACTTTCTGAAAAAAAGGCAGTCAAACATGAAAGTCTTCATTCCTCTGGGCCACTGAGAGCTACATGGGAGGAATTAAAGAGGATTATGAGCTTTCCTGATTGTTTGGCTAAAGACATAATTACTGGATTTAAAATGTGTTCGTCTTTGCTCGGTGAGGAGATAATAAGGTATTCAGAGCCAACATGTGAAGCTGGAAAGCTCAGACGACATCAGGGAGGGAGTCCAAGGGAGCCCACTTTGGTCTCTGGCTGATAACAAGCACTCCTAACCCCGAAAGCTCAGGGGGTCAAAAGACACCTGTCACCAAGTGGCATCTCCATGCATCGTCTGTGGTAGGCTAGAGCCTGGATGAAGTGGGCTCCACCTTGGCACA